GAAATGACAAAAGTCCGAGCCTGAAGTTCGGTCAGTAGATAGCGGGGGAATGAGGTAAGCGCGGCAAATCTTTAAATTTTCATGGGGAAGATAAATCCGGCCACGTGGACGGCGTGCTGAGCCTTTGGACCCAGGTTTGCCAGTGCGCCAGAGCTCAGTCCATTGGCCCAACTAAACTTAGAGCCCAGCGAATAAATTAATTTGGGCTGAGAAAACATAGGAAATCAGCCACTCAATTTGAAGTCATATAATATGAAGAAGAAAATGGGAAAAAAATGAAAAGAAAAAAGAAGGAAGCATGGAATAATTTGGATTGTTTATCCTAATTAGTATTCCTCTGATATTATTATATATTGTATAGATGTTAATTAGGTTTGATGAATCCATTATGATAGATTTGTGATTGTGAGGTCTCTTGGTTCATCTCCTAAATCCTAGCCTTTTCCCTTTGCAAGGCTTAGTCACAAAATTATATAAGTACTTTTTTCTAAAATTTTTCTAAGAGAGAATGAATGAGATTTAAGGAATAAAATTCTAGCCTCCCTTTGTCAGGCTAGCTTACAAAATCATAAATATATTTTGTAAAACAGAAATTTCTAGCAAGGAAGAAATTGTGTTTTAAAAATGGAGAGGATTTGAACTCGAGACATTTAAATTATGGAATTTCAATCTTAGCCACTGAACTAAAGTCTCCTCGGCCAAGTAACGTACATTTATTGTTACATGTGTGATTATATTTCATAACTGTGCTTACATGCAAGCTTAAGTTCTATATTTCGTTAAGTTGATATTGTGGTGTATCTGAATCATATTTTGTCACGATCAAATTCCTATATTAATACTCATTAGAAAAATTCTTATATTACAGCAATATATAGTGCATGTTACATTTGTATCTTTCATAAAAAATAGAGATTTAGGGGAAAACTCTGATGGGGAAAGCGAATTTAGATATGGGCGTATTAATGTAATCAAATTTTCGGTACTCAAAATTTGCATGCGTGCAAAATCTACAGCATCGTACTTATGTAAGAAAAATTCACATAAATGACTATTAACCGTTGTGACTTTACTACTTTTCAATGATTTTCGCATCCAAAACAAATTTCATTGCCTTGTGCTTATATTTCACAATCCCACGAACACCTGGCTTGGATTGTGGTTTTCACAAAAAAATTTTTATATTTTTCATGAACACATTTTCTGATTACTTTGTTATTATATACGTCAAATGATTATTTTCTTATCATATAGTTACGGTACATTTTTTTACAAAAACTCTTAAAACTAGCAATTCAATAAAATTATTCTATGGTAAGGAGGCATTTATAAACTCTACCAGTCCTCAAGAAAACTTTTGGAAGTCTCTTGTATTCGTTGAGTGTATAAGCAAATCCCGTCCCATGCATAAACCAACGAAAGCACGCCAACAACTGATCTTTTGCTCGAAGAAGCTAAGGTGAAAGCGTGAGGAAGCGGGAAGGTAGCTGGAGCTTTAAGCCTTCGACAACAGCGCAGCTAACCCTCCGAACAACGGCGAAGTATTCCTTAACTTGCCTGTACACTAAAAGTAAAAGTAAAATTCTGTACTAGTTTTTCTTTTTGCCTTTTTGTCTGTGTCCAATTCAAATGACGCTGTAGTGCTGTTCTGTGCCCGTGAATCACATTTTAATCTACTATTACGAGAAATTATTGTGGGCAGTCTTGGAAATATCATCAGTTAGTACTACAACTAGTTGTACTAGTTCCCTTGTTCACAAACTGACATAGAAGTTTGTTGACAGCTGCTTGCTGACTGCACATATTTGACACTCCCTCCGTTTCAATTATTGTGTTTGGATTGCATTTTTCACGAAAAAATTATTGTAGCGATTTGATGTACGTGAGATAAAAAAGTAATAGAGAAATGTGATTATGAAAAATGACGTAATTTTTCGACCGAAAATAGCAATCCAAACAAGGTCTGAGTCATAATTATAGAATCTAATCTTTTAAAAATAATAATTTAATTGTGATATTTATATTGTTTTCAATTTTATTTTCATAAATTCAAATTTTAATTTAAATAGAAATGTATATATATGATTAGAAAGAATGATTATATTGAAAAAAGAAACTAAAAGGTGTTTTGACTTTTTTAACGTGACAAATATTTTGAGACGTTTCAAAGTAAAAATTACGATACTTTCAATAGGATAGGATGGTAAAAGTAGTAACATAGAATAAGTCATACTCAAAACTGCTCTAGTTTTTCTTTCCATTCGTTGTCCTAATTGGAAAAGATGCACTCAAGTCTCCCAAGTTTTTGATTGCCTCATTCTTGTATTATTATTTTGCCATTTCTTGCTAAAAGGTTTTGCCCTACCGGTTCAACATGCAATATTCTTTTCTTTCGCATTTGTTTACTGCGCAAACAAGGAACTTGTACATGATGTGACAAGGAAAGTTAGTGAAGGTGGAACTTTCCGGCCATGGTGGTCTACGATGAAGACAATAAATTTGATTGATTGCGATTTTCTTCAAAAAAATTATTATATTTTTTATAAATATATTTTTTTATCACCTTTTTATCTTACATATATCAAATTGTTATAGTAATTTTTTTTATAAAAAAATTCAGAAAAATACAAACCAGACGGGGCCTAATTTTTCAGTAGCTAATATATATAAAATAAAAAAAAAGTGATTGAAAAACTTATTTATGAGAGACGTAAAATTTTTTCTTAAGAAACTACCATCCAAACAAGACTGTATACGACTGCTTACAATCATTTGCGTCGAAGGTCGAGACCTTATCACCTCCTATCCTCAACCTTCTCCTCCTCATTCAATGTCATATTAAGGCAAAAAGAAAATTGAGTATTTCCCTTTCGTATGTTCTTGGACTTGGTATGGTTTACTGAGTAGCCTGGTCATAACATCGAGCTTGACTTCACAGGCTGAGTTGAACATCAATGAGTATGCAACGCTATGGATAGAGAAAGAATTTAATTCCTCTCTGGCCTTTATTTTCTTTTCCCCTTTCCCACCAAATTCCTTTTTGTGCCAAATAAAGAAGATTGACGTTTGGATTCTTTAGTGGTGGATTACATGGAGGAAGGATATTCATTGTCCAACTACATATGATAAGGAGTGATTTGCGATCCATTTCAATTTTGATTGCTAATGATATCAAGTTGTGAGTACAATTGTAAACGCATCATTACTCTTGAGTTTGTGATGTAAAACATTTTTAGAGATTGTACGTAGCTTTGTTTAATTTTATGACATCTCTTGTGGGACAAGTACAAGTCCCTAAGTGCAAAAATTTCACATCTAGAGAATTTGATCTGCACATTTCTCACTTAAAACTAAAGGTGTGTTTGATAAAACTGAAAATTGAAATTTGAATCTATTAAGTTATTAAATTATTAGGTACTAATTTTGATACATTTGAGTGTATATCACACATTAAATGATATTTCACTTATTTTTTAGATAATGTTTTGACTAAAAAATTCAATGTCATATTAAGTTTAAGTGTTTTAGATAATGTTTTGACTAAAAAATAATGTTTTGTCAAATTCAATGTCATGTTTTGATAATGTTTTAGATAATTAATTAAGATGTTCTATATTTTTATTATCAAACGCATTTAAACATATTAAAATTTAAATTTATTAAGTTTAAATGCTAAACTGCATTATCAAACAGGCCTAACACACTCTTTTGCAAGGCAACCTCGATAATTATTTTTTTCTTAAAAAAAAAAAAGGGAAACTCTTTTTTGTATGTTGTTACCAAAATGAAAACTCTTCTGCAAGTAGGCACTGGATGGTCCATATTCCATCTTAAGTCAAATCGTGTCAAACATAGTACGGTTAATTACAACAAATCCCCCAAGATTTTAGAAAGGACACATTGTACCACTTTAAATTTCAGAAATATGCACTCTGTCTCCTTAACTTAAAAACATTTGTATTTTCAAGCAACAAGAGATAAGCGAATTTTGTTGAAAATCTAACCATTTTTTCCAATGTAAGAAATAATTACTTTTTTAACCAAATTTTCTCTTTTTCTATTTTAATTTCATTTTTGTGAGTTATCTTACTACTTGAATATTATGCATGAGCCATATAAATTCCTTATTATGAAGTGTATGTACTTAACTTTTTCTAAATATTTAAACATGCAAATAATATTTGACTTACAAGAACCGAGCTAAGGATTGTGAATGTAAAAATGAAAAGGAATGTAAATGTTTAGACATATAATAAACAATAACAAAGTTGGTATAAGATAATAATTGTTGTTTTCATTTAAGTAATTAGAACAAATACATAAACTTTACTTAAAATAGTATGGTTTACACAACCTAAAAACACATATCATTTGTTAATGGCTAAAATACTTGCAGGTTGGCCACGAATGATGTAAAATCAAAGTTGTAATAAAAAACTTTTCTGTTAATAATGTCTAGCTAAACTATTTCCAAGAGTTATTTTTCTCTTAGTGATTTGTGGAGTACATTTTGTATTTGCTTAACGTAATTTGTTCAAATAACATGCACAACAGGCGAGTTTTTTATCGTGACATTGGTTACCTCCATCCAAATTATTTATTACAACTTATCTCTTTGCTTGTATTTGTTTTACCAAAAGTACGTTTTCAAAAAAATTTTAAACACGCTTTTCATCTACGTTTTGATGATTCGATCTCATAGAAATAACTGCTAATAAAGATGCTACATGATTTTTGTAGAAACAAGTTGCAAAATCACCATCTAAATGGACTCTTCACTGATAATTCACTGCTTTCATTGCATTGGTTCTTTTTTCTAATTTTTTTTTTAACTTCTTAGTAATTTAAACAATTTGCAGGTCTCTAAGAGTATATTCGTGTAAACTTGTAGAATAAAGTCAATTTTGAAAATAGGAAAAACTGTGGCGTAATTATTAGTTAGTACTATTACAGAGTGGTGGAAAAGAAAAAAGGTGGAAAACCATTGTGAGGAGTGTAGAATGGTTTGCAATCTCTAAATCTTCTGAACACCAGACCATGACCATGCCAGTCTTCCTACGTCAATCCCAACAACTGCCCCCCTCCCCCCCACCCCACCATCCCAGCAGCTTGCTTCTTAACCCTGAAGGAGTCACCACCACTCCAAATTATTTCTTCTAACCACTTTCTCCCCTCCCATTAACCAATTCAATTAGGACTTTACCCAACCAAAATCTGATCTGCTAATTGAATAATTCTGCCATACAAGATAAAGGAAAGCCCATCAATCTTTGCCCACAATCAGACAACAATTGTTTTGTAAATTAGAATCTGGGTTTTGTTTAATAATGGGCGGGGCAGGAGGAAACGTCGGGGCAGAGCAGCCGGGGGTGGCGGAGCCGCAGTATGCCGCGGCGAAGATATCGGTTTGGTGGGATATAGAGAATTGCCATGTGCCTAAAGGATGCGAACCCCACATGATCGCTCAGAATATAAGCTCTGCCTTAGTCAAGATGAATTATTGTGGGCCGGTTTCGATATCTGCTTATGGTGATACTACTAGAATTGGATCTTCTATCCAGCAGGCTCTAAATAGTACTGGGATTGCTCTCAATCACGTCCCTGCAGGTATATGGAATTGTGGTTTTGGTGGAAAGTCTAGATTTTGATGAAAATTTTGGTGGGTTTTGTTTATTTTTGAGGGAATTGTGGGTTTTTTGGTGGTTTGTTGCTTTGTGTGACTCTGGTAAAGTTTATAACTTTTTGGGATTTTTGAAGTGGGTTTCTGTGGCTAGATTTAGTGTCAGTCTGATTCTTTTTTCTTGCTTGCTTGTTGATGTCGAGTTTGGGGGCCAGGACGAGGAGTCGGTGTACGGTGATCAGTTGGATCTGTTTTTCTGATCTGATTAATTGGTCGGAATGTGTGTTATAAGTAATAGTTGTGGATAGATCTTGCTTTTCTTAGAGGAGGAAATTTGGGAAGAGCAAAGGGGGCTGCTAATTTTGCTGTAATATCGGTCATGCTATTTTTACAGCATGGTTTTCGTTAAGCTTGTTACTTTGGGGTTTGTGTGGTGGATTTGCCTTTTGCATTGAGATTTTAAGTGTTTAATGTCTACTTTGATAAGTTGATTTATTATTGTAGTACCTTGTACTGGTTGTCTGTTACTGAAAATTTTGCATTATCATTACCTTCTCAAGTGTCAGTTCTTCAGGCAAGATGTTTCATCGTGCTTCGAAGTTCGAATAGACAAGGATACCTTTCTGGCTGTTGGATGATTCTCTTTTCATACAGAAAAAAAATTTTCTGGTCACCCTGATCAATACCTTTGCTGTTTCACACAGTGTTTGCATGATTAGAAAACTGAATAAGAAAATAAGAAAAGAAAACTGAATAAGCTGTTTGTGAAAACTTGGAAGGGAGAGAATCTTGGGTCATTCTTGCTGATTGAGCACTGTTATATGCCTCGTGTTAGATATTTCCTCTTGTATTTTGTGATCTAGAAACTGGAATAGATCTAATTTCGGTTTCATTTGAATAGGGGTTAAAGATGCAAGTGATAAGAAGATACTGGTCGACATGTTATTCTGGGCAGTTGACAATCCTGCACCTGCCAATTATTTGTTGATTTCTGGTGATCGAGATTTTTCGAACGCACTTCACCAATTGCGCATGCGGAGATATAATATACTTTTGGCACAACCTCAAAAAGCATCTGTTCCTCTTCTAGCTGCAGCAAAAAGTGTATGGCTCTGGACAAGTCTTGTGGCTGGAGGACCTCCACTTACTAGTAGTGAAGCATCCCAATTTGTGAATAACAGCTTTGGGTTTTCTTCCAATGGTGACAAATTACATGTTCCAGTTTCTGATTCGATGCAGATAAATCAACCCCCAGATTCATTTTATGACAGTCCCCATTTGGGAAATCAGAGGTTCCCAAATATGGGAAGGGGAACAGATATAAAAAACAAAGGAAGACAAATTCGGAGAAACTTGACTCAACCAATTATGCCAAGAACTTCAAGCACACAAGATGACCTTGACAATGGAAACCCGCAAAGATCAGGATATGGGCTTCCTAAACACTTTAATGATTTGCATGAGTTTTCTGCTACTCAGAATCCCAAGGTTCCATTTAGTGGACCCTCCCCTAGTTTGATTAATCCAGATCCTTTTCCAAATAATATCAGTATTCCTCATAGCTCTCAACAAATTCACTATCCTATTCCAGTTAGGCCGAACAACCTTCCTTCTCAGCTTGCATTGCCTCCTGGTAACTTTTTACCGCCTAACTCTCATATCCAGTATCCTTCACATACAATGCCTCCTGGTCCTCCCCGACCTGATGCATTGAGCTTTACCTCGGGACCCTTTACATCTGTGCCTGATATTGGTAAGATAAACATTTCTGAATACCCTAACAACCACAAGCCTTCTACTTGGAATGGAGGAGAGCTTAGACAAACATCTATGACAGAACCTACCAACTATGCCAATTCATACAGGCCTCAGAAAGGGCAAAATTTGCAGAAGAAACCACCGGCGCCCCATGAATTAGTTGGAAATAGGTATCCAAGCCCTAGTCAACAGATTCCACCACCACCTGCCCCAGAAGTTGGTAACACTAGTGTCTCTATATCTGAGAGTGGTGTTTGGGGAACTCCAGGATGTCCTAAACCTTCTGAATATATTCAAGGCCTTATGGGGGTAATTTTACTTGCATTGAACACACTAAAAAATGAGAAGCTTTTGCCTACTGAAGAGCACATTTCCAATTGCATTCGTTATGGAGATCCCAAACATCGCAACACTGATGTTAAGAAGGCTCTTGAGTGTGCTGTTGAGCAGCAGCTGGTAGTTAAGCAGACCTTAGGTGCTGTGCAGCTGTATGTTGGTAAGAATGAGAGACTATGGAACTGTATAAACCTCGGGGATACTAATATAAAGCAATATCCAAAAACAACTTGGGATGAAATCCAGAAATTTCTGTCATCATCTTCTGGACGAACTGCAATACTAGCTACTCAGTGCAGGTTTGCGACAGATTTACCCTTTTTTTTAATAGATGCTATTATTATTGTTTTTATCATCACCATCACCATTTTGTAATTTAAGTTTTGAAACTTTTCTTCTTTCCTTTTCTTTTTTATTTTCTTCATCAATTGTTTTAAGCTCACTGAAAACTTCTCGTATCCTTTGAACCTTGTGATGTGTTGGATAGGTATGAAGCAGCCACTGTCATAAAGAGAACATGCTTAAAAGATCTTACATTGGGAGAAATTCTGCAGATCTTAAACATGGTAATATACATGAAAAGATGGATTATGCATCATCAATCAGGATGGCAACCGATTAAGATTGTTCTTGCAGAGACCTACCCTGAAACAGGGGTGGCCGCTGCTTCATAATTTCATGTTAAACTAGTTATGGGAGGGGATAGAGCCTGAGGATGGTGATGGATTTATGTCTTCAAAATGGTGGTTTGGAGTTATAAATAGGCTCTATGTGGTCCACCTCCCACCTTCCTAAAGAATACTTGGATGTTTTGAGTAGCTGCGTTTAAGTTTAATTAAAGGATAGACGACTGGGTCGATGTTTAGTTCATATCTGGACATGGTTTGCGTGTTTCTGTAGATTTTGGGACAATGGTAGCTCTGGTTGGCCAGAGTTTAACGAATTCACGCAGGATGTAAATTTGGGAAAATTGGAAACCAGTTGTGACCTGGGCTGGTGTCGGTGTCAGGTCCTGATTATGACACTTCAGTGGATACTGTCAAGTTGTTTTTCGGATGCTTCTTTGTTGTATACGTTCTTTGCGGGGATGTTTCTCATCAACTCATGCTCTATTACAAATGTACTGAATTTTGAAGGAAGTTGCTAGATGGGAAAGTTGTAGGAGCTCTTTGGAAAGAGATTCTTTTGGAAAGTCATCTGTACTTGGAACGTCTGGAATTACTGTTGTACAAGGCATAAAGGCTTTTGGTTCATTCGTCCCGGATAAGATAACTATGTCGTGGAAACTGATAATGATAGGTATGCTTGCTGATAGTTTACGTGAAATTAATTAAGAGCTACAAGCTTGCGATGTGGCCTTTTACATCATGCACTGGAGGTTAAGGTAAAAGGGACTTGAATGAAGACGGTTTAGATAATACTTACTTTTTTGGGAGGAATTAGAAGGTACAATGAAGTAAGGGGACACTTTTGAGCAGCCAAAAGGATGAGCCAGTTATCACCTGAACTCCTAAACCTGGGAGTTAAATTAAAGGTAAAAAATCTACATACAACAGAATTTACAGAACGAATGACAGGCAGCTGACAGCAGATTGTTCAAGGCATATGCAATTTGCAGAGTATGAAAGATACGGCAACTGGATTGGATCAATGAAAATTTTGTGGTATGCTGGTTATATCTTGTATGTATAGTATAATTGAGCTATATTGAAGCATGTTTAAAGCAGGTCCAACATTGTTATTATGTTGATCCTTCTTCTAGATGCATGTGTACACTCAAGTGGGAAAAAATTGTGCGAGCTTCTGATGGCAACCTGCTTCACTTGTATCTATTGTAATGACATAAATCATGGCATAGTTGTCAATGACTAGCTCTTGTGATGTCTGTGAGAAGGTTTAATGTTTTTGAATCTTCAGACTAGAATTATTATTATTATTATTATTATTTTTGGCTGCCTCTGTGGAGTAGTTGGGAATTTTCGTGATTGTTGTACGTGGAATTTCCACGTATCATGTTCACTTTTCTTGTGAAAGGGCAAAATCTGAACCGTGTAGCGTGTCTGCATTGAGGTTAAGGCTTGCTCTTTGGGACGGATAAATGCAGCTAGTTTGGTTTAGATTCTGGATTAATGACTTAAACAGAAGTAGTCTGGTGGACATGGTCCTGTGCTTATCATTCTTCTCCTAGTCTCTGGGATTTCATGCTGTGTAATTTGTATCTTCTGGCTTCAGCTGGGATTTTGGATCATTCTTGCCTAGTCTTTGTGGTGGTGTACTTTGTTTCTTTAGCTGGGATTATGATGACAACATAACCTCGTAATGCGAGCTCTTTTATGCAGGCGGGCACTTGTTTGCTGTAATTGCTATTGGATTCTTCAGTCATGCACATGCACTTAGGTATCCAAAACATGATCTTGTGTAGTAACATGGGGCATGCGGTAGATTAAGTCTTTCTGCATGATTGAGCACATTTACTAAGGTAAAGCTTAAAGGCCAGTTTAAGTAATCGCAGCAGTTTTCTCTGGCAAATTGCCATCTGCTAGGTCGTAGGTACACAACATTCAAAATTATTTTTTTCTCCAGTTTCTGCTAATTTCTTGCAGCTAACGAGAGCCGTCCTAGTTATTCTTTTCTTGGTTTCGTCTCCAAAACCACACGGGGCCATGCTTTTTCTCTCCCCAACCTGGTAATGATCCATTGCAATGTTAAATTCACATCTGAAAATGTACTAGCTCGATTATCATGAACGACTGTCTTGTCTAGATGATGCTCTTTTCTGCGCGTCCAATTCGAAGGAAGGAAGGAAGATTCATGCGACAGCCAACGGGCATTGTCTGTGGTTGTTGGACGTGTTGCACGTTTGACGCGAGGTTGGTTTACTTTCCGCGAATACTGCTGCCATTGAAGATCAGTCGGCAGTCTGACTTTGATTTTTTTTTTTTTTTTTTACTAACGACTGCTAATCCTCCCATGGAGGGAAAACCATCCAACTATACTAATTGTTGTTTGTGACCCAATCTCGTGTGTGTCAATTTCTTGATTGTCAAAAGGGATGGAACATAAAGACTAGGACTCAATTCCTGTTTAACACCCCCTATGGCTTGACAGGAGGAGGGAAAAAAGCAGTGGAGGAGGCAGGCATACATGGTACAGGACTAATGACTTGTCCACTGACTTTGGGTATTGACTCTCAAGTCTCACCCATTGGAGGCAAGAAAGCAGCATGAGTTGCTTGGTCCATCAAATTGCCTGGTGGGGTGGAAAGTGGAAAGTGGGAAGTGGGATTTGTGTGAGTCCTACTACTTAATAGTGCATAATCATTTTGTGCATTGTATGGCTATATCCCATTACCTAGTTGCACAAATTGAGATGGTATGCAAGCCAAGCCAACTGGTGTGTCACTTAAATGATACCAGATTTGGTTATTGAATAAAATTTTCATATTGGGTTTTGAACTTTTGATACAAATAAAATTCCAAATTCACGTATAAATGAGTTAAGCTACTTGAGTTTGAATTAAAGTTGGCTTGATAAAATAAAAATCGGTTGGAGTTCAACGAGAAGGATGCTAAGGTGCTCGGCTCCGGAGTAGAAGTCCAATTCTTGAGACAGCTTACAATTTTATTTTATTTTTTAAAAAAAAGAAGAGAAGAGAGAGAGAGAGAGAGAGAGAGAGAGAGAGAGAGAGAGAGAAATTGTTCTGGAGGAAGAGAGTATAAAGAGACTGTATAAGGAACTAACAGATATATAGACTCAATAAATCAAATGAGTGTTCTAGTATCTCTTTTAAATTTTTTTCATTGTAGGTGAGATTCGAACCCCTGACTTGCAGTTCAAAGAGAGATTTATTCACTTTTTTATGGCCACTGATGATTTACATCACACTTAATTTCTCTTTTTATGAAAAAATTGGTTGGACATATATCTACTTATCTAAGACTAAGAGCTGCTTCTAGCATTGAACATCAAAGACGAAATTTTTCATCTATGATTGAACACTCCAAATCATTAAAATTTGATAGGGTAGGAGAATCTTGCCTCCCACCAATTGATACATTAAGGTACTATGGTTAAAAAATTTAGACGGGTGTATAATGTATCCATCTGGTCCAATATAAATTATATAATTATCGTTTTGAAAAAAAAAAAAAAGAACACCCAATAGAAAGAGAAAGAGAAAAAGAAAAAGAAAAATGAAAAAATGTAAGGAGGAGAAGAAAACAAATTACTCTTTTTAACTTTTTGTTAGCGACTGACTAATGAACTGCCCATCCATCCAAATGTTCTTGCACAAACGTCACCTAAGCATAAGCTTTTTTTTTTTTTTTGGGAGAAAAACCTGAGCCCTAATTCGAAACTTGTACTATATGCTAAAAAAGTTGCACTAAAAATGTTAAAATGCCGGTTGAGAAATTAATGTCTCGAGAAACAGGAGAGCAATGGCAATCACGGAATCCCAGTGTCCCATTCCTTATTTGGTGTTAAATTACTTCCTGAATCAATTTTTAGTTTTTACTTCTTCCTCTTCCACAGGGAGCGATTCCCAGGCAAATCATTAAAAAGCGAAAATCCCAGGTTAGAGTTTGATCATTCCCGCTGTTTACTACTTTTCTTTGCTGCAAACCTTTCATATGGAACTTCAATGGCTGTAAAGCTTGCATCTTTAGCATTTTTAAAGAGAATTCCCAAAAGGGTCAATTTAAATGCCTCTTTTTCTTCACTTTCATGTGCAAATGTTGTTCATATCAATTCAGAAACTGATCATACTCCGTCAAAATCTGCTGATTTTGAGTCAAAGATCCAATTTTTAAAGAATAAGCTTCATCCAGATATCTTGGTCCATGTCTTGGATTCCACAACTGATGTAAATTCTTCGTTGAAATTGTTCAAATGGGCTTCACTTCAGAAAACGTTTAAGCATAATGTGGATACTTATTATTTGATGATTTTGAAGTTGGGTTTGGCTGGAAATATTGAGGAAATGGAGGGATTTTGTAATGAGATGTTAAAGGAGAAATGTCCTGGTTTTGATGAAGCTTTCTTGGGATTGATTGAATGTTTTGTTAGAAATGATAGGCTTGACGAGGCTTTGAGGGTTCTTTCTTGTATGAATTCAAGAAGTTTTAAGCCTTCAGTAAGTGTTTTTAATATAGTAATGGGTGCACTTTTGGTGGCAAAGAGGGATTTCAAGGATGTATTATTTGTGTATAAAGAAATGGTGAAAGTAGGAATTGTTCCCAACGTGGAGACTTTGAATTACTTGTTGGAAGCGCTGTTAGAGGATGATAGGGTGGGTACAGCTTTGGAACAATATAGAAGGATGAATAAGAAAGGGTGTAGTCCTAATAGTAGGACCTTCGAGGTTCTCATTAGTGGACTTATTGCCAGGGAAAGGATCGATGAATCTTTGCTTCTTTTAGATGAAATTTTTGAACTTAGGTGTGAGGTGGATTTGAGCTTTTACACTCGGATAGTACCGCTGCTTTGCCAGATTAATAAATGTGAGGCAGGGATGATGTTACTTGTGAAGATGAAAGCTTCAAAAATTTCTCCAGATTCTTCAACTTATGGAGCTATGATAATATGTTTATGCCAGAATCTTTATGTGGATGAAGCTGTCAACCTTTTTGAAGAGATGGTGGGCAGCGGAATAACTCCAGAGGATGATCTCTATGTGGATATTGTGAAGGGATTTTGTACATTATGTAAATTTAGTGAAGCAAAGAAGTTTTTAGTAGATAATGATGTTGATATAACTTGTCCTTACAATGCACTTCTTGGAGCTTATTGCAGTTATGGTAATCTTGCGGCAGCAAAAGATCTGTTTGATGATATGTTTGAGAGGAGTTTAACTGATAGCTTGTCTTGGAATTTCTATATTCGGTGCCTATGTGAGATTGGCGATATCAAGAAAGCCTTGGAAGTTCTTTGTAGAATGATTGTTTTTTCATTTCTTCCTGACTCTATCACTTACTCCGCTCTTATCATTGGCAGATGCAAGCAGGATGAACTTGATGATGCTATACTGTTGTTCAATCAGGTCCAGCAGAAGTGTGATGTTTTGGATTCTGTATCCTATGCTGAACTTGTTAGATGCCTTTCTTATAATGAAAAGATTCAAGAGGCTGCTGAAGTTTATTGTTATATGTCAGGAAAGCAAGTAGCTTTGCAGTCAACCTCTTTTGATTTGTTCATTAAGGGGCTTTGTGCAATAAGAGAAGTCGAGAGTGCAATCAGGTTTCTATCTCTTGCTCATTGTTCTGGTACATCGTACTCGTCTGTAGCTTACTACAGCATAATGCGAGTTTTATCCAAGTTAGAAAAGGCAGATGACCTTTTAGTGGTATTATCACGAATGATTGTAGATGGTTGTCCTGTTGAGGAAGAAACTTATTTTATCCTCATAGAAAGTATGAGTCTAGCTGATAATCCAGACCATTGTGCTCGGTTTTTCAATGTGATGCTCAGCAAGGGTTTATTACCCAACTCCGAAACACTAACTACTGCACTGTCTTGTTTAGACAAGCATTCTCAAATGCACATGATTTTGAGTGCTATGGATCAGCTTATCCCTTGTTCTAATATTCTTGGTTCCAGTACCTATAACATGCTCATCAGGGGCCTTTTGAAAGAAGGATATAGGAGTGCAGCTGGTCGCTTGCTAGATGTAATGTTGGGGAAGGGTTGGATTCCTAGTACTGAAACTCATCAATTACTGGTTGGTTCTGTTGTAAAAGAGGAATCAGAAGTAAGAGCATATATGAGCGAAAATTTTGGTCCGCAGGATGAGGTTAGCAGCATACTTGAAAATGCATTGGCTCAAACATAACCTGATTCCATATATCAACACTATCATTGGCCGTTGTTGAATGTCTCCATTAAGTGCGATTGTGAAAGCCTCTGTAAGACTTGTAGATTTCATCTCAGACTTCAGTGCTATAAAAGGTATGCTATGTTCACACAGCACATAACTTTGCTTCACGTGGCATGGGTACTTAACAAATTGTTCTTCTGACAGTCTTACATGCACTTAATATGTTGGTACATACTCCACCAAATTTTAAAAAATTTTTTTTTTTTGTGTTTTTAATTTCTTTAGTGGTAGGGCTGGTGTCGGTGTCAGGTCCTGATTATGACACTTCAGTGGATACTGTCAAGTTGTTTTTCGGATGCTTCTTTGTTGTATACGTTCTTTGCGGGGATGTTTCTCATCAACTCATGCTCTATTACAAATGTACTGAATTTTGAAGGAAGTTGCTAGATGGGAAAGTTGTAGGAGCTCTTTGGAAAGAGATTCTTTTGGAAAGTCATCTGTACTTGGAACGTCTGGAATTACTGTTGTACAAGGCATAAAGGCTTTTGGTTCATTCGTCCCGGATAAGATAATTATGTCGTGGAAACTGATAATGATAGGTATGCTTGCTGATAGTTTACGTGAAATTAATTAAGAGCTACAAGCTTGCGATGTGGCCTTTTACATCATGCACTGGAGGTTAAGGTAAAAGGGACTTGAATGAAGACGGTTTAGATAATACTTACTTTTTTGGGAGGAATTAGAAGGTACAATGAAGTAAGGGGACACTTTTGAGCAGCCAAAAGGATGAGCCAGTTATCACCTGAACTCCTAAACCTGGGAGTTAAATTAAAGGTAAAAAATCTACATACAACAGAATTTACAGAACGAATGACAGGCAGCTGACAGCAGATTGTTCAAGGCATATGCAATTTGCAGAGTATGAAAGATACGGCAACTGGATTGGATCAATGAAAATTTTGTGGTATGCTGGTTATATCTTGTATGTATAGTATAATTGAGCTATATTGAAGCATGTTTAAAGCAGGTCCAACATTGTTATTATGTTGATCCTTCTTCTAGATGCATGTGTACACTCAAGTGGGAAAAAATTGTGCGAGCTTCTGATGGCAACCTGCTTCACTTGTATCTATTGTAATGACATAAATCATGGCATAGTTGTCAATGACTAGCTCTTGTGATGTCTGTGAGAAGGTTTAATGTTTTTGAATCTTCAGACTAGAATTATTATTATTATTATTATTATTTTTGGCTGCCTCTGTGGAGTAGTTGGGAATTTTCGTGATTGTTGTACGTGGAATTTCCACGTATCATGTTCACTTTTCTTGTGAAAGGGCAAAATCTGAACCGTGTAGCGTGTCTGCATTGAGGTTAAGGCTTGCTCTTTGGGACGGATAAATGCAGCTAGTTTGGTTTAGATTCTGGATTAATGACTTAAACAGAAGTAGTCTGGTGGACATGGTCCTGTGCTTATCATTCTTCTCCTAGTCTCTGGGATTTCATGCTGTGTAATTTGTATCTTCTGGCTTCAGCTGGGATTTTGGATCATTCTTGCCTAGTCTTTGTGGTGGTGTACTTTGTTTCTTTAGCTGGGATTATGATGACAACATAACCTCGTAATGCGAGCTCTTTTATGC